GCTGGGCGCTGGGCGCTGGGCACAGGGCTCCCCCCCACACACGGGGCACAGCAACACCCCCCGAGACAGCAACACCCGGCATGGACAGCCCTCCCTGACCCCGTCCCTGGGACAGAAACACCCCCCAGACAGCAACACCCGGCACGGACAGCCCTCCCTGACCCCGTCCCTGGGACAGAAACACCCCCCGAGACAGCAACACCCGGCACGGACAGCCCTCCCTGACTCCATCCCTGGGACAGCAATACCCCCCCAGACAGCAACACCCAACATGGACAGCCCTGCCTGACCCTGTCCCTGGTACCGCAACACCCCGCAGACAGCAACACCCGGCACGGACAGCCCTCCCTGACCCCGTCCCTGGGACTGCAACACCCCCCCAGACAGCAACACCCGGCATGGACAGCCCTCCCTGACCCTATCCCTGGGACAGAAACACCTCCCAGACAGCAATACCCGGCACGGACAGCCCTCCCTGACCCCGTCCCTGGGACAGAAATACTCTCCCCAGACAGCAACACCCGGCACGGACAGCCCTGCCTGACCCTGTCCCTGGGACAGCAACATCCCCCAGACAGCAACACCCAGCACACACAGGCCTTTCTGCGCCTCCCTCCCCCCAGAGAGCAACACCCCTGGCATGGACAGGCCTATCTCATCCCGGTCCCCGAGGGCAGGAATCAGGTCTAGCCAGCTCCCGCACAGAACAGGAGCCCTCTCCCACCCCCTTGACCCCCGGGTGTCCCCCCCCTGCCCCCGGTAACACCCCCGTGCTCTGCTGTGTTTGCAGATGAGATCTCCTACGAAGCCGGGATCAAGGTGCAGATCCACAGCCAGGAGGAGCCACCCTTCATCGACCAGCTGGGCTTCGGTGTGGCGCCCGGCTTCCAGACCTTCGTGTCCTGCCAGCAGCAGAGGGTATCCGTCCTTCCATCTGTCTGTCCATCCCCGGGCCCGCGGGCCAGCAGGGGTCCTGCCCATCACCCCAGTGCTGGTGGGGCAGGCAGCCTGGGAGGGAGGGAGCCCTGGTGATGACAGAAAGAGGGGTCAGCTCCTCAGGGATCCCTGGGGAGGGGCTGCTGGTATGAGGCTGCCCCTTCTCTGCAAGGGAGATCAGGAGCCGTTTCTTCCCCCAGGCCCTGGCCGTGTGGATCCCCCTCTCCAGGCAGGCTCCCCATGCACATGTGATCGGAATCTTTGGCCACCAGTGTCGGGGGGGGGGCACTCTGTGCCTGCGTGTCCTGGTGCCACCCACTGGGGGCAGGTAGAGACAAAGTGACCCTGACTGCTCTCCCCGCTTGGTACCTGTGGCAGTGAGGTGGGACTCACATTCCACCAGGTCCACTCTAGCACCTTGTCCTCAGGCACTTGCAAATATGAAATATAGATAGTTAGTTACGATTGGTTGGGTTTGGTTGATTGGGAATGGCTGGGGTAGGATGGTGGGTTGGTTAGCATTAGTTGGGGTTGGTAGTTGGGGTTTGGTTGGTTGGGATGGTGGGTTAGGGTTGATTGGTTGGGGTTCAGATGGTGTGTGGGGTTAGCACCATGGGTATCCGTCCTTCCATCTGTCTGTCCATAGTTGCAGTTGGTTGGTTTTGGTAGGTTAAGGTTAGTGGTTGAGGTGGGTTGAAATGGTGGGGTGGGTTAGTAGCTGGGGTTGGGTTGGGGTTAGTTGGTTGGGGATGGTGGCTGGATTGCATTTATAGCTGGTGTGGGTTGGTTGGGGATGGTGGTTGGGTTGGGTTAGTAG